TAAAAAAAATAGAAATGTATAGATTGAGTTCTGTGCAAGGAACCTCAGAAATCCTCCAGATCACAAATATTACCATCCAAATATTCTCTCGTATTTACAGTTAACTCTCATGTTTCAATAGTTAATTCTGGTTCTTCCTCTCTTCCCTCCCTTGGGGGAGGAGGCACAGGAACAGGATTCTGTTCAGGGCTGCTGTGGGTTGAGAGGAGAGAGGAGGAGGATGTGGTTTTGCACAGGAACGGCATGGTTCAGAAGCACTGTGTCTTGGCTGCTGGCACAGAAATAAACTCCAAAGTCCTCCAGTTCTGCAGGCTGGATCTTCAGAGTGGAATATGTCCCTTCAGTCCTTTCAGCTGGGACTCAATCAAGGGCCATTCCTGACTCATCTTATACACACTCTTTCAGAAAGTATATCAGAAATGCCATTTCTTTCCCGACAGTGCATTGGTACCAATAGAGAGAATCATGTCCAGAAATTGGGTCATATCTCACAATCACAGTCTGATTCTTCTGTATGACCCTGTGTCTGGGGAACTGAGCAACTCCAGTTGCTGTGTGGGAGAAGACAAAAAGAGAATACATGACAAGCATGAACTGGGAAAGGGTAACATAGAGATGTTCAAATTATGACTCACTTGCTTCCAGAATATGAAGGGACACTAAGCTGAGAAGCCTGGGCACCATGGCAAAGACCCAGATAAAGATGAGCACTTTTCCAGGTGTCAGGAAACTTGTGATCATGAGCAGAAATGAAAGCAAATTTGTGTTCTTGGCCCTGATAGGTGTGGCCTACAGTGACATCAGCATATTGGCTAATGTCCACAACCTCGGAGCTCCCTCTGGGGGAGTGAGAGCATAGTAGCCTGAGCAAGTGTTCTCCAAAGAGGGTTGCCTCTCAAGGGGGTGGTGGAGGAGCACTGACATCAATTAAAATTGACCTGTTCATGCACTTGACTAGGTATTAACCTCTTGTATGTTCGTAAAGAAGCCACCACTCACAGCACCTGAGTCCAAAGTCTGGCTCCTACTCCATCTGGCCTGGCCCTAGTGTCTTTCATGTACCACATCCCCAAAGACTGGGGCATTTCAACTTGAAGTGTCTACTGCTTTTATTCTATTATGTTTAATTATTAATATCTGTTATCTCTAAATTCTCTTTTCCCATTTTCGCTTTTTGACCCCACCACTCTCAAACTCAGCATGCTCAAAACATAAAAAAATTAGCCTTAACTCCACTCCACCATCTTGAACATACTCCAGTCAAGCTTTTGACCCCACTACTCTCAAACTCAGCATGCTCAAAACATAAAAAAATTAGCCTTAACTCCACTCCACCATCTTTCTAGTTGATTTGGCTGAAACCCTTAGAGTTGTCTGACTCTTTTTTATTTATTCCACCCTATAGCCAGTCCACTGGGAAATTCAACTGGCTCTGTAATTAAAATATACCCAGAATTCATTTATTTTTCATCACTTTCACTGCTAACACTGTGGGCCAAACCACCATCATCTTTTGCCTGGATTATGGCAATACACTCCTAAATGGTCTCCCACTTTCATCTTACTTCCGCACTAGCTCTCAAACTGAGCTCACTAGAACATGCTAGGTCATGTCACCCATCTGCTCCAAATCATCCACTAGCTCCCAGTTTTGTTCAGAATAAGAAAGCAAAGCTCTTACGGCCTTCAAGGTCTTATGTGATCCACCACACCCCATTACTTCTCTGACCTAAACTCCTACCTCTCCCTTCCTTGATTTTTCAGTGTTGGTGGCCTCCTCGTTGGTCCTTGAATATCCTTTAGGGACTTTGTACTGGATCTTCCCTCTGCCTGCAATCCTCTTCCCCCAGATCCCTGCATGTCTCCTATTCCATCTCCTTGATGTCTTTCTCAAAATTCACTTTCTCTTTAGGCCCTTCTCTGAACAATTTATTTTTAGTTTCAATGGTCCTTGCTCAGGCAGTCCTGATCCCTCTCACCTTAGTCTGCCTTTTCTTTTATCCATAACAAGTATCACCTTCTAACATACTATATACTTCATTTATTCAAAGTTATTATTTGTTTTCTGTATCTCCCTCCCTGAATAAAAGTTAAACATCAAGAAGACATGAGTCTTTGTATTCTTTTACTTTTTATTGATATATGCTAAGAACTTAAAACAATGCCTGAAATTCTTTGGACACCCTCCCTGAATAAAAGTTAAACATCAAGAAGACATGAGTCTTTGTCTTCTTTTACTTTTTATTGATATATGCTAAGAACTTAAAACAATGCCTGAAATTCTTTGGACAGGAGGTAATGCTAGAATGAAATCTTGAAAGATTAGAGATTCTTAGTGGCCCATGGAAGGCATGCCACAGACAGGGGACAGTTGAGTCTCAAACTCATTTCCTCTCATTGCAGTTCAAGATGGGTGTTAGATAAAAACTTGAGAGCAAAGTTTGCAAACAATAATACAGGGACATGAGTTTCTTGGCCCAGTTTCAGATTAACTGTACATACTGGGGTATATTAATCTCCTCTGGCTGCTATAAAAATTACCACAAAGTTGGTGGCTTATAACAGCAGAAATGCATTCTCTCGCAGTTCCAGAAAAGTCGAAAATCATTATCACTGGACTGAAATCAAGCTGTCATCAGGACCATGCTCCCCCTAGAGGCTCTAGGAGGGAATCCATTCCTTGTCTATTTCAGCTTCTGGTGGCTGGACATCATTTCCTCAAATCTTGTTGAGTGGTTCTTTCTCCAGCCTCAGGGAGTTTTCTCACAGGTGTGCATGTGTGCTTATCAGAACGCAGCTGAGAGTCAAGGGAGGCCCTATGAAGATCTCCAGAATTCTCTCTGTGCGGCAATCACCTTTCCATTTCCCTGCCTTGTGAAATCTTGACTTTGAATTCCCAACTTGGACTTTGAACTCAGTGAGATTACTAAATTCTCCCTGGCCCAGAGCCTGGAAACTCCCTTCTAGGTGCTAAGGTCGGATAGTCCTAGTGCTCAGCTTGGTTGTTTCCAATCTCTCAGGGATCCCTGTCTTTTGTTGCCTGATTTTCAATGTCTTGACAACTGTTGTTTCACATATTTTATCTTTTATTTTATTTTATTTATTTACTTACTTACTTACTTACCTACTTACTTACTTACTTATTTTTTGCTCTTTCAAGCATGAGGTTAAATCTGATTTCTTAAATCTGATTCCTGTTTATCATCTTGATTGGAAGTAGAAGTTCACTCCAGAACCATGTTGAAATTTTCAATGTTGGGATCCCCAAGGACTTCAATGGTTATGAACCTTTTCATCAATTTCTTTGGTTTCCATTCCACGTGAGGAGTGTAAAATATCATTCCACACATATGTGAAACACAGCCTGGAATTTCAATTTACCTCTGCTACCTATTTCACTTTATCTGTCACCCGAAGGCCTGGCCAAACATCCAGTTTCCTAATGGCATTTCTAGGTCTTTGGGTTGTAATATTTCTAGTTCATGAAGTCTAGGGACATTCTGAGGCTTCAGGATTAATGCAAAAGGTGTAATTCTAGCTCCTTTGTGTAATTTCTTTCATATAAGCATTAAAATCCTAGCTCCAACTGTGAGGCCTTTATCTAGTCTGAAAGCTTATAGGTTATTATGATGTTAACTTTCCCTTATTACTCTGCCTATAAGCTTCCTCTCTTTTCTTTTGCATAGAGAATTTCTTTTTCTGTTTAGATTATCTGTTATTGGTGGTGCTGGTGGTGGTGGTGTTTTAAATTTTGATGGTGAAGAGTGTTTCTAATTTAAAAAGCAAAACCAATAGACAAGCACAAGGCTAATCATCTTTTTTTCTGCTCTTTCTCTACTCCTTCTGTCTCTCTAAATAACCATATATTTTACAACTTTCTCCTTCCTTACACAAATATATAAAACTGTATATAAACTTAAAAAGGGACTTTTACTGATTTGTTTTTTCTTAATTTTGCAAATTATTTTGCCCTTGACATTTTATCTTGATCATTTCTACGAGTGAACAGACTATTTGGCTTTCTTTTAACGTTTTTGTACATACGAAGAGAAGGCCACACACACATAAATGAGATAGGATCATACATTCTGGGTACATTTTTTTTTACGTTTTTATAACTGTCAAAAGTATAACTATAATTGGTGGATGAAACCAGCAAACTCAATTTTAAAAACAAGTTCTTTTACTAAAAGAAAAGTATACAGCTTCCTATGCATAAATGGCCTTACAGACTTTAAGACACACTCCATGGTTATAATCTTGCTTGACAAAGGTAAGGGACATTTTAGATTTTCTGTGCTATTCAAAGGGCAGAGTGTGGGCACTATTTTATTTTCCAGGTAAGAAACATGGAGAAAAAAGAGACGAGAATCCAAGGTATGCGTAAGAATTGCACAATTGTCTTAGACCACAAAATCTAAGTAGAAGAAGGGAATTGAGTGTATGAGGAGGTGATACACAGTGCAATGTTTGCAGAAGAAGTCAATCAGAGGTCCTAATGGGATTGAAGAATTATTGCAGAGATGGAAAAAAAGAAGATTGTGGGAGACAATAGGATGTTTGAGAGAGCTGTTTTAGAGGTGGTTCAGTTTGTTTGTAACTGCAAGTCTAGAATATGAGAGTGGAAGTTAGTATCTGAGATGTCTCAGAGGCAACGATCACTGGAGTGAGCAACTGAAGAAACTGAGGAGCCAGAGTATCACTTAGATGTTGTAGGACATCAGAAACTCTGGGAGTTTTAAGGTGGAAGAGACAGAAATGGTGGAGAAGCCATAATGAAAGCAAAAAGGGAGGAAATGATCCGTGCACATTGGCTGCACAGTTTTAAGCTCAATCACTTGAAAATTGTGACATGCACCCTCAATCTTGGACTCAGTCGCCCTATGAGAAATTTGTGAGGAACCCCAAGAACCAGCCTTCACACTGCCTTTCTAGAAAAATCTCCTAACGAGATATTTCATTACATTCTGTTCTTGCCTTGCCTGGGGACAGATAGAACATCAAGCCCACGTCCTTCCTGTGATGGGGGAGGAGGCTAGAAGGGCTGCTGAGAACTGCTGGGAGCTGAAGGAGAAGGGGAAGCACCAGGGTTTGTGCACAGGGAGGGGGGGATCCTGCAGCGCTGTGGCTGAGCTGCTGGCACAGAGGTAGAGTGCTGAGTCCCTGGGTTCTGTGGGCTGGATCTTCAGAGTGGAGACTGAGGCGTTAGGCATCTGAGCTGAGAATCGTTCCTTGGGCATCCCTTTGTCATCTATGGGAGCCTGGTTGCTGAAGTAAATCAGCAACTCCAGGCCCTGCACCACAGTCTGTCTATACCAGAAAAGGGCAGTGTGTCCTGAAATTGGCTGACATCTCAGAGTAACTGCTTGTCCCGTCTCCGTCACTTCATGCCTGGGTGTCTGGATGACTTCAGCATCCATGGGCTCTGTGGAAAGGAACAGAATTTGGGGAGAGAATAGGAAGACAATTGGAATCATAGCTGGCAATGTTCAAAAGTGAAGATTCTGTATTTCTGAGAACTCACCTACTCCCAGGAGACAAAGAATCACACAGCAGAGGAGCCGGGTGACCATGGCAGGTTGGGGCAGGAGGAGGCTTCACCCTTATGAGGTTCTTGAGGGCATGAGCAGAGGAGCTGGGGATTCCAAGCCCAAAGTGGAGGGTGGACTGGCAGTGACATCACTGTCTCTGTCACTGCTCAGAGGACCTCCTTCCAAAGTTGAACATTAGTCCTTTGCACAAGATTGGCCGAAATAAATCGTAATTATTCTGGGGTGCAGTTGGCTCATTCACAGATTCACTGCTACCTCTGATAGTGCCAGTGCTTCAGTGACCATCACAGACAGCATCTCCCAATCTCCCTTCTCTGATGTACCATGTACTGACTGCCTGCTAGATGTTTCCACCTGGGTGTGCCATCAGCACCTCAAATTCTGGACATCAATAACTTTTTAAATCTCAAAAGCTTCTTTATTCCTTACACTGGCAGTTTCTCTTTCTGAGACACACTAAATCAAAATAATTAATTGCTTAGTTAGGGCTTTGTCCCAGATCCCTCCTGGAAGCATCTGGACCTGGCTGCCATGCTCATCATGAAGTGGACTAGGTGGATGCCCTGGGAACAGATGGGACTGTGTGCAGATTTTATTCCCAGTGAGGGTCAGAGATAGTGCTCTGTGCTGCTGTTTCCTCAGCCCACGGCACAGTGCCTCCTGCATTTCCATATCTCCTCCACATAGGAGGTTCTTAACTTCTCCACATTAAGATTGCTGTTCATAGAGAGGATGGAACCTGCTAGCTCTGAGTCTTCGCTGTTGCTGCAGAGATACACTCTTCCAGCACCCCAAACTGGGAAGTATGTCAAGATGGCAGAGAGAAACGTATGGCAGTGAAGCCCTCATAATGGCAGAGAATCAGCAGTGCTCACTCTCCCTCGTCCGGTGGATACAGGGCTTCAGAAGGAAGATAAAAACACAAACACATAGAATCACACTTTGAGACAGGACATAGTATTCCAGGATGGAGATGTTTTTATTTATATATCCAGAATGAATCTCCTCTAGGATACAAGAGTCATGAAACAGAGACTGTGATCATATAACAAGTTCAACACGTGAGTGGGGTATCTCCTTCCTCAGTGCTCTGATCCTTACTGGTAAAAAGAACCAGACGTTGGGTCACTGAGGCCCTGGTGATTTTTTCTGATGATATTAATCTACTATGGGCTTCTGAAGGTTGAGAGCCCCTCTGACTCAGGGCACAGTTCAGGCTGTCTTTCTCAGGGCCCAGCTTTAAAATTCCCCACCACAGCAGCGGGACAGGACCAGGCTGGATTTAGAGGAAAGCCCTTTCCAACAGCTTTTCTGATGTTCCTAACAAACACAGTCGCTGTTTTGATTCCCTACATCAGGGCATAGTTGTACGAGACCAGCTCCTGCTCCCCCACACCCTATGCAGGCTCACAGGCACCCCATGAGTTTAGACAGGTGGCCTCGTATGCTCATCTTTTCATCCTTTCCTATAACTAGCGGAGAGCTTCCTCAGTGATCTGCATTAGCTAATGGAACACAATTCTCTCTACCTCTTTGTCTCTCTCTCTCTCTCTCAACAAAGGCTACTTCTTCAATCAGGAAGGGGCTTCCATTATTACACTGTAACAGAGATGTACCCTAATGATCTGCATTAGCTAATGGAACACAATTCTCTCTATCTCTTTGTCTCTCTCTCTCTCTCAACCAAGGCTACTTCTTCAATCAGGAAGGGGCTTCCATTATTACACTGTAACAGAGATGTACCCTACCTGCCCTGTTGTCCTGAAGAATGTGTGAAGAGTTAGGATGCAGGGTCCTTTCCTTCTAGTATATTGGCCACAATCTTTGCAATCTACCGAGGCTCTCCCTAAGCACACATCTCTGTGGGTTAATGAGACTTGAGTTGGAGGATGGAAGGGGATGGGAATCTTGTGTCCACCTTTATTTCTCTGCTCATGTTTTGGCACTAAAAAAAAAAAAGATTAAGTTAATTTGGACCTAGTGGTAGTAGTTGTATGTGTATTCCTGGCCCCTTTGCATAATGACCACCCCAAACTTGGCTACAATCCCATGCTTATTGATCTTAACCTATCTGCACAAAACTGAAGTCGTTGGGTTCCACCCTTCTCTCTCCAACACTTGCTCAGTGCCCACAAATTGGGTTTGTAATTCAGGGACCCAGCCTGAGCTTTTCCTTTTTCCTCCACTACTAGACAGTTCTCTCGGCTTCTCTACAGAGTCACAGAATGGTGGTGGAACTGTAGTGTCTCCTGGTGGCCAGTGGGGCTGAATCACTAGAAATGACTTTGTCAAGATGAGATAGGAGGTGCTTAGTCTCCTGGGGGTCAGGTTTCAGAGGCCATTCCCTTGGGTCTTAAATCACTCCCCTGGAATTCAATCCACACTTCTGAGTCCTAAGCTACGGGGGCCTGCAACACCCATTTTCAGCACGAGCACATGGAAATTAAGACTGTCCTTTCTACATGTGAAGCAATTAGACTTCTGTATTACAATTTTTGGGAAGGGACATTGTTGAATTTGTACTTACATGCCCAAGAATGACCAAAGCTTGGTAAATCAGCCTCAGTAATTATTGTGTTACTACTGGTATTATTCAAGCTTCTTGCAGCCTTAAAGGGGATACTTTGGAGAAGAACATTCCAGGCAAAGGGAACAGTCAGAGCACAGGCCCTAAGGCAGAAGTGGGCCTGGAATACCTGAGGAATGGCCAGAAGGCCAGTGTGGCTGTTGGAAAAATAAGCAAGGGAAAGAGGAATAAAAAAGGAGGCAAGAAACACAAAGGAGAGGGAAATGATCTAGGGCCTCACAGGCTCGTGTAGGCTCTAGGTTTTTCTCTGAGTGAGATGGAAACTATTATATGTCTTGAAATAAGACATAGTGAGAATCATATAAGAGCTTAGACAATGTGAGAATTAAAAACATGGGAGTATAGACATTGTGTGCTACATGGGCTGAGACATCAGAAAGATAGAAGAATTGTAGTGTTCCTGGCATTAGTGAGGTGGAAAGAAGGGAGGTAATGGTAGGAGGATAGGTGATTAAAATAAAAATGTTGGAAGGAACTTTGCTGCTCCTTGCATGGTCTGTAATCATGGAAGTGAGTCTGAAAAAAATAATTGAAGGAAAAAAAAAGTTCTCAGAAGTGAGGAGGTCAAGAAAGTGAGAAGCCAAGGCAATGTATAAATCGTCCATGGGATGGTCAACTCTTCAAGAACAACGACTGGATTAGCAGCAGGCAGAAGGCATGAGTGGGAGGAGAGATCTGATAGTGAAGAAGTAACCACCACAATAAAGGGTGATGGTCTGCTGTCATGCGTGTCAGGAAGCTGAGCTTTGGAGGAGGAGGGAGAATGATCTGGAAGCAGCAGTGAAGAGTCAGGAGAACAAGGAAAGTACTAAAGCCACACCTAGACAAAAATTATGTCCCTTGACGTACATGGAAAAGGAACTGAATTTCATTCTGCGCCATTTCATCTCAGAAGTCAGAGCCCTTAACTGACAGAAAATAGGACCGTGACAAGTGGTATTGGGCTACAAGGCAGAAATCAGGTAAACCTGAATGGCCTCGGGCACTCCAAATACAGGCATCTTTGTACCCGTTGCCAAAGATGCCCTGAGAGAGGCTGAGAAACCATCAGTATATTAATAAGACTCTAGAAGACAGGAATTATAGCTATTCAGAATGGGCAGCAGATGTTGTGTAGAAATTCCTGGCACAAATCAGAAGAAAAATATAGGTTTGGGTCTTAAGGACCTGATAAGAGAGGAAAGAAGACAAGTGAGACTGGGTGGCCTGTGTGCTGCAGATGTCCCACCGTGGATCCACACAGATGGTTCCAGAGCAGGCAGCGGAGGAGCCCTCATCAGAACCTGAGTCCACACAAGCCCTCAGCTCCCCCTGGGCTCTCCCCCGCAGGATGGAGACAAATGGATCTCAAGACTCCAGGAGTGGCGGCTGGCATCTAAACTGTTAACTGCCTGCATTACCCATATTTGAGACACTCTTTGAGTGTAATGAAAGATTCCTATGTAAATGCTAAGTTGAAATTAGCATTCAAAGAAATGTCCACAACCACACTGAAGAAATTTCTTTCATAATTGAGAAAACACCAGAGGAGGAAACTCTGTTCATAGCTTACAGTGAGAAGAGAATAGAGAGGCTTAAGCAGTTCAGAAGACTTGGCCATTACCAGGAGCCCCCCCTTCAGATGGGGATGGCAGGCAGGAACTCCGCACCGTGGGTAATTAGGGTTTATCTAGCATGTGTGTCAGTGACCAGCAGACAATTTGTGAGGGATCCACAAAACTCATTTCCTACATTACTTTCTACACAAGATTTTCTCTGTTGGTACCTTATCATTTTCTGTCTCTGTCATTCCTCAAACCCACTTGCTTCTTACAGAGAGAAAGAAACAGAGAAGACTTAGAACTACTGGGAACTGGAGAGGCAAGAGGAAGCACCAGGGTTTGTGCACAGGGAGGGGGGGATCCTGCAGCGCTGTGTCTGAGCTGCTGGCACAGAGATACATGGCGGAGTCCCCGGGTTCTGCGGGCTGGATCTTCAGAGTGGAGACTGAGGCGTTAGGCATCTGAGCTGAGAATCGTTCCTTGGGCATCCCTGCATTGTTCATGGGAGTCTGATAGCTAAAGTAAATCAGCAGCTCCAGGCCCTGTACCACAGTCTGTCTGTACCAGAAAAGGTCGTAGTGGCCTGCAATTGGCTCACATCTCAGAATAACTGCTTGTCCCATCTCTCTCACCTCATGCCTGGGTGTCTGGGTGACCTGAGCATCTGTGTGCTCTGTAAAAGAAGACAGAATTGAGGAACAGAATGAGGAAAATATAGGGAGCCATCAGGACAGAAGCCCACATGAGAATGCCCAATATTCTGAGGACTCACTCGCCATCAGAATACAAAGGGCCACACAGCAGAGAGTCTGGGGGCTCATGGCAGGGTAAGAGCAGATGTGGATTATCCCAGTATAGGGCCTTTGTGAGCATGAGCAGAGACATGAGTGTTA